ATTTAAACATCTCACATGTTTGTTTTGTACTCGCGCATAGTCTGAGAAGTCTGTGGAGATATTCAATTGTAAATTTGGTGGGTCCTTTTTGGAGAGTCAACTTTTTTTAATACACCCTGTAGAAGGCACCACCAGAGGGGGCAATTGTTTTTGCTTTGCTGGAATTGATCAGAAACAGTGATGCTGCTGGGAGGAAAATTATTTAGGAAAATCTCAGGGAATTTTGTATATTTCATTTTCCTTCTTTTTGTAATTGAAAAGTTAGCATGTTGTAGTTTTTTCGCTGAATTTAATTGGAAACAAAGGCATCTTTTTAAGCCCTGTGTGATTGTATTTCTCCAATTTTTATTGGTTGTTTCTTTTTTAGCCCAATTTGACAGTTCAAGGGTAGTACCTTGTCATTTTTTCAACGCAATAAGGTCCTCAAAACTGGGAAAGTTGGAAGTAAAATTCAAGATGCAGTTCAAAGAATTTATAGATATCTTAATATGCAACTTCAAAATGGTGACTGAAATCTATGGAACCTACAGAGATATTTTGTTATACATAAAACAATTATGCATCAAGAATACAAATAAACATGAAATACTTTGGGCTTTTTCTCATTCTTCAAAATAATCTATATGTGTACCTAGCATCTAGGAAATTCAGTATATTTGAAAACTGTCTAAATTATTAACTTGGTAAGGATGTTTACACACTTATGGACTACGTAAGATTACAAAATTGTCGAGGTCATTTTTGAATCACTTCAGATATATCTTTGTGCATCTGCAAGAACCGTGGAGACATTGTTCATTCGTGTTTTTGGCTTCTGAAGGGCTTCTTGCAAACCTGCCAACTAGTACGATTTAGCCATATTTCTTGGGGGGGGGGAAATTATTGAAAATACAATCTCAAGTTTTCTCCCCATAAAATGCGGGTTTTGACGATTTTGACCAAGAAAAAAATCATAGTTCAACAGTTGCAAGTGTTCATTATGTTAGAAAAAACTGCTGCGAAAGTACATGTATATATCTGGCTACCACCTGATCATTATGATGATTGGCTGCCCATGAAATATCAATATTCATGTACGCATTAGTGGGACTCTTTAAAGCCACTTGTGCATCAGTGGAAGTAGTGACAAACAGTCTCCGCTATTTTATGTAGCACACGTCACCGTCACGGTAAATATGCAGCTTGAAATGAGGTTAGTAAATTTTCCACTTTCGTCGATAGACGCTTCGTGGCAACTGGCAGTGGGCAAAGAAATTGTGACGTATATAATTACATTGCTTTAACATGTTCTATGTTTATCGTTTTTTATGAGATTTCAAACAATTTTGGGACATAGACTCATCAGTAAGTCAGTGCAACACCCGTGTATGAATTGTCTAAAGAGGGTCCGATTTGGATGCAATCTTTGACAAGACTAATCCTCAAGTTATAAATCTGCGGAAATAAACAAGGATGGAGACATTCTACGGCCGGCCAGTGAGCAGGCGACAAAATCCGTGCCAGAAAATTCCAAAAGCCTGGACATGCATGCGATGTGCATTTCAAGATTTCATACTTTGAAAACGTGATCAATTCAGGTGGGAATAGGGCCATTTCACTCTCCAACCTCGGTAATGGATTTCTCGTGTGATTATTTTATGCATGAAGAAGTGTTGACGCAATCTAGTCTGAGTTACTCAATCAGACTAAACCCAAACCAGATAAGTGGTCAAAATGATCACGTGGGGGAATATGCTTTTTTTTTGCGAAATACGATTTTTTAAAGGAAAAAGCAACTTTCGAATTTTTAGAATACAGTTTCGATATTCAAGAGGTTGGCAGAGGTCTGCTCTTGTAAAGGGATACCATGGTATAATTCTTAGTACTTCCAACATTTAAGTGGAATGCACTTCTAATTTACAACCAGATGTATACAATGAAGATCTTCACATATATACCACATTTCAAAGCGATCAGGTATGTGATCATTCCCCCCCTCCACCTGGCTGTGGCTCATTTAGGGTTAAACAGAAAGGGCATCACAAGTTATTCTCGGATGTAAAACACACAGCGAGTGGAGTCAACGTCATGCATAGCCGAGTCTCCGTGGGCGTCCTCCCACACTCCAATCAGCAGCTCCCTGTCATTCTTGCTCAGCTGGCTCCCGCACATCCGCAGACTCTTCAAGCCCGCCCTCGCGGGGCCGTCCCTGGCCAGGACGAGGGACAGTGATGCCAGGAGGTCAGTTGAGAGGGGTGTGCTGAGCCCGCAGCCCGAGAGGTCGAGGGATTCCAGCGAGGTGGATGCGCCAGCCAGGGTCTGCAGGAGGGGGCAGATGCTGACTTCGGTGACGTGGGCGTTGCCCGAAAGGTTCAGGGAGGTGAGGGGACTTCTGGCTGACAAACACCTGAATCGGAAACACAATATTGGAATTACTGGCCTGGCCTTTGTCACTACTCTTTTAAGATTTGACAAATAGCATTCCTGCACCAAAAGCCACAGCAGGCAAAAGGCCTCAGTACAGCGACCACAGTCAGGTTTGTGTCCAGAGCCTAAAGGGAAGGCCAGGGAAGCCTGAATGTGCCTTGTTGAGTCCGGAAATGAGCCCAACATTCTGCACGACAAATCGGTCTTTTGACTCAAAACGGGCATCCCCACCCAGTACCAAGCTCACCAGGGCTTGCCCCTGATGCTGCATCAAAACATCATATGCATTCATGTCCACCTAAAGTGGGGGGTACTTCAGTGTATTACAGAATTTCCAGAGAGTTGAGGGTGCTGTAGCACCTGCACGCACCGCATCCATGGTCGTGTAGGCTTTCTGAACACCACCAAGTGTTTAAATTTCTGGTGTGTTCAAAGAGAAGTGTTGGAAGATTTTAATATTCTAAATAACACATATTTGGAGAAAATATTAAAAGGCACTATGCAAAACGAACATGCCAACCTGGATCCCTGCCTAAGTCCTTATCAAGTAATTTGTAAGCAGTAATGTACGCAATCTGTAACTAAACAATAACATGTTTTAGGGTGACTCAGCAGTTGAGACTTCAGAGAAAGTAGGATGTGACCTCACGAATTCCAAAATTGATGTCAAGGAAAACCAATTCAGAGGGGACAACTCTGGCCTGCTAATTATAGTTAATCTACGTTTTAGTATCTGAGGGAAATAAGTCTTGTCCAGTCCAGTTGATGAAGGAGTAGACATACCCAGTGATGTCAAGAATATCGTTGTCTTTAAGATGGCAGCCAGACAGATGCAAATCCTTCAGTGAACAATCAGGCTAGAGGGAAAAATTACAATTGAAAAATCATTAGGTGAACAAGTGTCTCTTAACAAACATTTGTCTATAGGCAATAAATATTGACGGATGGAATTGTTCAGTCCAGGCCAATCACGTACAAGAAAGTTACGAGAAAATTCCAAGTCACAAGTTTCTTAAGACTCAGGTGAGAATGCTCAAATGGAACAACCCAAAATTCTAAAACAAACTTTTCTAATCTTAAACGTTTAGTTTGAAAATCTGGAACAGCAGTTTTGCTGTGGCATCACTGCATGCTGGTGTTGTATTCAAGTCCATCACAAGTAATTTCACAAGTCCAGTCACATGTCCCGTCATAAGGCCAGTTATAAGTAACACGGTGAACAGTGACAAAGGAATGCTTTTGTCACAGTTCATTTGAATAGCTTATGAACTGGCTTAAGACTGAATGACTTGTGATGGACTTACAGGGATTGGCAGAGTCTTGTGATGGACTCGAATACAACACTGCTGTGTGCTTTGTTACCAGTAAACTATCTTCCTTTTTACTGAGTCTAACCTGTGACAGAAAAGACGCCAGATGTTTTGCAAGGTTACTCCCTATGGCAGACGAGATGACACAGGACAGATCCAGAGACGAGACAACGTCGGGGCTCAGACAGCGCAGAAAGAGCTCCACTCCTGTCGAGCCCAGTGCATTGTGGGAAATACGGAGCGAGCGCAGATTACTCGCACCTGTAAACACAGTTGGGTAGGGACAAAAATGGTGATAAGTATTTTCTTTCTTTTAACCCTGGCAGTTTTAACTGCCTAACTGTCAGCTGCCTATCCACAGGGTTTTCATGTTTCACTAGGTCCAACAAGATGAGGATTCGAACTGAATTTTATTGTTGAAACGATGCACTTGGATATTTCTTGTCTCTGAAAGATATCCTGATTGCAGGACCCAAAGGTGTGTAACAAACTTTGACATGCCAGACAAGGACTTAAGGGGACGAAAATGAAATGCTACAACAATCAGTTCTTTGATCTTCATCAATATGTTGCACTCTGACTGGCCGGTGAGTGCTTGAAATCATGCGAGGTCTAGTGGAATGAAGTGGGGGTTTATTGAGTTCCTCACTCTGGAAAGCCTCGGTCAGGGCTCGTCGATGAAGCTGGAAGAGCTTGGCAGTGAGGTCACACGACGTCAGTGAGAGCTCGGCCAATAGGCAGCAGTGGCTGATGAGCGCTGCTAGGTGAGGGGCGCTGGCATCAGTCAGTGGGTTGTAGCTCAGGTTCAGCGTCTCCAGAAGCTGTTGAGAAAAAAAAAAGATTGTCTTCATATTTCTCCATGCTCTGAGAAAAATGTGCGCAATACTCGCTTGCCAATGGAAATACAGTATTCTTGCAAATAAGTGCACATTTCTGGTCCACACGGTAGCTCTCAACTGTCACAATAGTACAAACGAATTAGAGACATGGAATATCTGAGACACGAACCACTCATTATTCCCATCAACTGTTATTAAAAGAGACGGGTTCTTTTGGACCATTTCACAGTCAGTCTGGGGGCGCCCCCAGATCTTAGCTTGTTTCTGATTGGAACAAGCACTGTTCTTTTGAGAACTTTCTAGAGCATTTCCACAAATGAGATGTCCCCTAAAGTTCTGAGGTAAAACAAGTAACTTATTTCCATAAGCCTCTGGCTAACGTTAAAACCTAGAGAGACAGATCTACAGTGGAATGCTGCTATAACTGACAAGACAGGTCCACGCTAAATGTTCAGTATAGCGGTCGTTCGGTATAGCGAATTTAACTGCCGAACATTTCGTTGCCATGTTGAATAGTGCCCTCGCTTGTCTAACCGAAGTGCACACTCTTGTGATACCTTGGTTCGCTGTTTTCGTGATGATTTGCCGTTGCAAGTCTAAGAATTCGAGAAATGTACCTGTTAATTATTTTTGTTTTTTATTTAAACTTGAGTCAAAAAGTTGATATCAAGTTTATCCTAAAAGTTGTAAAACTACCGCTCAGGATCGATCTCTGATGCATGCTGTGGCGAATCTCGGTTGATTTGTGTATCAGCAGCGCCCTATTTAGACTATTATAGTGCAATGCCAACGTGCGCGTACGTGCGGTTTTTTCCGCACCCGATCATGTGGAGTTTGCAAAACCAGTGTCTATTCAATACCGTTGACAACTAGTGGCTTTCCCTTCTAATCCTTGGGGGAATAATGGCTACTTGTCACTTTCCAACATAAAAATATACCAACTGTTTTATCATGTTGACGTTCGGGAATTACAAACGGCAACTGAATAGTGTTCGGTAGGTTCTGTGCACGAATTATTGGGAGCCAAGGACGATGTTCGGTACAGCCGAATGTTCGGTATAGCGTCGTTTGATATAGCGTCATTTGGTATAGCGGCGTTCCACTGTATTTGAATCCAGTGTTGTAGTCCACACGATCACAAGACCAGTCACAAGACCATTCACAACCCCAGTCACAAGTAGCAGGGTGCACAGTGACAAAGGAATGCTTTTGTTGCAGTTCATTTGAATAACTTGAATTTAGACTGGAGGTCCTGTGCTGGTCTTGTGATGCCGTAACCACTTGCTGCCGGGGAACCGTACGTGTGCACTGCATTTTTAAAAGCACCCGGCAGCAAGTGGTTGAGAGGTCTTGACGAAAAAACTGTCTGAATCTTCCTTGAAATCCAAGTCAAGTCCTACCTGTAGTGGTTTGGCATGACCCTGTCCTTGCATGGTTGCCCCCACACTGTCTCTCCCCTCGGTCCTTTTACTCAGTCCCTCCCGGAGCAGCTTCAGACCCTCGGGGCCGATGGCATTGCCGCTTAGATCCAACGCGGCCAGGTTGGGCAGGCTGGTCAGTGCGGCCCCTAGCGATGGCAGGGAGGTGCCGTCGATGCGGTTGCCGGGGAGGAGGAGCTTGCGGAGCGAGTACTGACACTGGAGGGCCAGGAAGAGTGGGGCGAGATGCTTGGAGGAGAGGGCCAGGCTGGACAGGTCCAAGGTGCCTGGGGTGGACTGGGTGAGTTGGAGGCGGTTGTGTATCTTGGGATGGTCATCTGAGTAACCAACGATAACAGAGTATTTCAATACTGAGGCTCTGCTCTTTCCGTTTTGTGTTAAGAGCAATGAATGCTTGATGACACCAACATTGCACCAACAACCTGCTTACTAGTGCAGACCTCTTGTAATCCAAGTTCCCAAGATCAACTGGCTGGTTCAAATTCAATATGACCAGAGGGTACCAGAATTAATGGCTTTTGAAGCCAACTCTATTGGGATATTGTAAGTTTTAAAGTTAGACTTTTCCCCTAACACAAAAAAAAAAAACACAGACGTTACCAATGGAGTACTAAATACTAACATCATCTCTAAGTTTTATTGCAATTTCCAAACCACTGAGAGGTTCCTATGCATTGCTGCATTTGACCTTTTGAATGTTCACTCTTTATCCATCGCAAGTTCGTTTCGTATTACATTGTTACTCATTGGAGGGTTGAAGTCACTGCTCCAAAAATGAGAACACAGAGTATTCTAATCTCTTCCCCATGAAAACATCTACTGCTATAAATACTCTGACGAAAGTATTTACCAGTTTTGGCAGTTTCACAAGCCCGTTTGTATCGCTCTGTAAGAGGAGGAAGGTCCCAGGACTCAACCTTGCCAACCACCTGCAAAAAAGACAGGGGCTTCTCAAAATAACAAAGCTCAACAGTTATGGCTTTCAAACTCCATTTGAAGCCATAACTATCAATTCAAACCCTCCATTCAGAACTTGAATAATTAATATATTTAACAGATCAACATGAAATTACTATATTAATCTGTTCAACATTGCTTCAACTGTCTGTTTAAAAGATTTTTTTCTTTTTAATTATATACAGCAAAAGATGACAGAGGGTGTAGGGGCAAAAAATACTCTCAAAAAATCTGGGGCCATTTCCACAGAGCTGTTAACTGCTGAAATATGCTAAGAAAGGTGAATATTTGTTCAGCAGAGATAGGTTACCAGCCAAAAAGACATGTTATGCATATTGCTTGTGATCAGTGCTCTGCTACTTATTGCTTAGCGTATAAATTTACTAAGCAAGGTTTTCTGCCAGGCAGCTCTATGTAAAAATTATTACAATGACTATGACAGTAACCAGATATTCCTCAGTCGTTTCCAATGGATTTTCACGACAACTTACCTCCTCATTGTTACTGAGAAGGTCCGTGATACTGTCCTCGGGGGAGAACATGGCCCCCTCACCCGTGCACAGGACCAGCTTTGGCCGTAAGCCACAGGATGCAAAGTAGCGCTTGGAAGCCTCCTCGCACAACCAACTCATATCTCTGGCCTCTCTGAATGCAGAGTGGAAGAAAAAGATTGTTGTGCCTGTGGAGGCTAGTGGATAGGGTTTGTTACTCCCAATCGGGGGGGGGGTTCCCTACTTGCCTTGCTCCATCCACTTGCTCTACTTCAATAAAGCTAAAGCAGTAAGCCCCAGATGAAGTAAGAGTACATGTATAAAGTCCTGAATCCATTCAAGCTACATCAAAGGTGCTTGATATTGGGGGTTAATACTGAAATGTTCATCAGCTGATGATGATTTTATAGAGGCCCCATGACGAATAAAATATTTGAACTCTGAAATGCTGTCCTCTACCTGACTGGGATGAGGAACGTCTTGTCCTGAATCTTGACCCTGACTCTCATGGCAGCTCCAGCTGTTGGAGGATGCTGCTCTGATGTTGGACGCTCCTCCCGTCGCGGACGGAGATCCTGGATAGGCTCTGGATGTCTTGCAGATGGTCTTCCCTCGTCAAGGTCCTGGTCATTTCAGAGTTCATAAGTTAAAGGACAAGTTCAGGAAGCTGGAAATTAACTTTAGATTATTTATTGAAATAATGAATTACTTTTTAGCTCAATCAGAAGATGGTATACTTTCCTTAACCACTTCCTGCCAAGTGTAATTTGCATATGCGGGACAAGTTTCCTGGCGATTTTCAAGACTTTCCGTTTCAAAATTCTTTAAAAATTCATAACTTCCTCAACTGGACGCTTACACCCACACGAATGACTGTGTGGTTTCTACACTAATCTGACAGGCAACCTCCATTGACGCCCGGGTATTGCAGCCAGGCCTGCGGCCCAGTAAAACGAGCTACAATTGTGCATAATTTCCTTTGTTCCTGAAATTGGCCCAGTGCGTTGCTGAATGGCAGTGGTGTCTTGTCAAATGCGTCTAGATTAGCATGCAGCAGTACTGTATCACTCATCACTGGAGTACTTTTGTCCCCGCTGATAATCCGCGGGCGCTGAATGCTGAACAACAGTGGTATACCATTTCAAAACAATGACGGATTACACCTGCTTATGTCAGCACTCTGTGCTGAAAAATGTTGACAATTCCCAGCAGCTCGGTCTTTTGTCCCGAGTACGGTCTTTTATTACAAGGCCCAACTCCTTTGGCTGACTTCGGGCACTCCGGCTATGCATACAAACCCAAGGTCTCCAGTACAAGGAACCCCAGCACTGAGTGGTTAATCCTGAAAAATCCTACAAAAAAATACTGGTAGATGTTTTTAAGGATCTGAGAGAACTGAGAGGGTTAGGGTCGATCAGCTTGTAAGTTTATAAGACAAGTTCAGGGAGGGCTCATACAAACCTGCATTTGACTAAAATCCATTTCTGAATCTGTCCTACTATTTCCTTCCTCCATGAGAGGGGAAGGCACTCGTCTCTCCTCCATGGCATGTCTGGATATCACAGCAGTTCCCATGTTAGTTAACTTTAGTTGCCTCGACCTCTTCGACTTTCGACTCAGGAACGGGGGCTTCTGGAAGCCTCTCAACTGACTTTCACTAAGACCTGGAGATGAAGTGCTTGGCAAGGACGAGCCAGAATTCCGGAATACATAATCTACGTCCATTCGTTTGCGCTTGCAGGGCTGGGTCGCGACATCTTGAACCAGCCAATTGTCACCGCCGGTGTATTCCTCCTCTGGTATCAGAGCTGGCGTGTCATTGGTCGGCTTCGGTTTGGAGGAGCCCGCTGGGGCTGGGCGCTGAGAGATTCTTGTTGCTGCACTGCCAACGTTAGACACTGCAGTGATATAGGCCTGTCGGGCATTTGACGCATCTGCTGCTGACGTACTCTGGCCATTTTGTAAAGGGAAAACACTGATATCATCATCTTCAATATCGTAAGAATCCTCATCTGACACTAGATCGCTTTCAACCTCTGGTGCATCTCCTGTCCTATCTGATGTTTGTAGCTGCCCTGGAGTTCTTCGGGTCCGAGTATGTGATGTCATAACAGGCATTGCATCCTGGGATATCTCCATGCCTTCATCAGAGTCCTCTCCCGCATCAGGGCCAGGCAGAGTCTCAAAGCAGTCCTCATCATCCTCCAAGTCACACTTGCTGTTTCTCCCTACGTCCCTCCGAAGAAGAGATGTCCTGCGTCTGTTTCTTGAAGACATGGGGTCTTTCCCCCCAAGTGATCTCTGATTGTCTCTGGCAGGAGTGGATCTACATCTCGATCCTGTCTCCCCACTTCTGAGATTGCCAGTGGATGCTGTTTGCTGGTGACGATAGGAGGTAGAGGCCTGACTGGGTCCATCTTCTCTGTCAAACAGATCGGTGTTATCCAAGGCTCTTCTCGGCCTTGGCTGAGATGGCTGAGGGTTGCCTAAAACAAATGGGTATCAGAAGTCATCTTAGTTAGGCCCAAAAAAAAAGGTCGGTCTGTGGTCAGCACACGTGTCGACTTTGAACATGCGCGTTTTCAAAACTGCGCCCTCTATTTCCGCACCGCCTGAATGTTCGCAAGTAGACTGATTCCTGGCCACAAGTCCGTAAGTTGGAAGGGCAATTTGTTAAGGGAACCAGACTAATGGGTAGAACCAGACCTGGGTAGCTCGTACCCGGTGATAGATCGGTTAAGACTGCATAATGTTGATGTCGAACACAAACAGATGACCATGGGTAGGTTACAAAGTTGCAGCCAGCTGATCAACAACAATGGCGGCATGACGTGCGACGTGCTACTACTAGCCTTTGCTCTTTGATTAAAAATGCCACTCATTTCCGTGTCTGTTGCCAGTCTTTAAAAAACCACCCCACCCCCCCAAAAAAACGCATCACTGCATCTATTCTGGAATTTTGGTCTGACCAGAGACTGAGTATTTTTTTATTTCGGCCTTATTTCTCAGAAAGAATCTTGTGGGTTGCAGCATCGGAGCTAGATTTATTAAAGTAAAAATGTCGACAAAAATGCACTTTTAGAGGGGTGGGAGGGGAAAGGGTAAAGTACACAAAATATGTCAAGTATTGAAACAAGCTGAAACCAGAGTGGTTGATCGCTGACAATGTCACCAAGTGAGGTTTCAAATTCGAAAAGTTTTCATTGACGTGACAGTAATTAGGAAATAATTTTAAAAGTAAACTTTTGGTTAAAGAAAAATGTTACTATTCAGTTTTGAAGTATTTGTGCTCACCTTCCCTTGTGGTTTGCTGAAGTGTCTCGGCCAACTGTTCTGCATCCTGCCTGGTACCCTGATCAAGATCACTGGCGTACGTCTCCAACCACTGCGACAGTGTGTTGGCCGCATTCAGGCCCTGCATGAGTGAGTGTGGAGAATGCATGTTCACACCACTAAGCTTTTACTTTGGCAGACTGGCTTCCAAAATGGATAGTCACTGGAATTCACCTGTATCAAGATCGGATCTTCAACCCTGACCATCATTTTTAACATGACTTGGAGTGATGGACATTAAAAAAGATGTGCCCAGTGAAGCCAACGCATCCATAACAATCGGCAATCCATAACAATGATGTATTGATGAAGAAAAATTGCTCTATCTGTAACATAAACCGGCAGAAAGACATTAGTCTCTAATTACCTCAAGGCAACCAAGTAATCAATGAATGTTTGAATTTCAGTTGAATTCAAAGATTTAAGTTTAATTGGAAAATGTCTATCAAAGACGACATACTTCAATTTCCCCTTCAAAGTCATTCTGATATTGACAACCTGCAATTCAATAAGATCAGAGTATTCCAGCATTGCAGTCAAGTACTTCACAATACTTCAGTGGCTTCACAAGAAGTCGACACAAGTCCCTGAGTCTCACTGTGAGCCACAGGCTATCAACACATGAACTGCCTCAAAGACACTCCCTGGTGATTGTTCATCCATTGTTAGTATTAGAGACACCAAGAGAAGCAGTAGAGGCACTGTTTGTAACTATTTGAATGAACTTATAAAGTAACTATAGAAATGAAGTACAACACCGTGTGACAGCCTCTTCAAGATAACAACCTTGTCATCCTTGGCGTGGATGTTGGCTCCTCTTTCCACCAGCAACTGGGCCACGTCAAAGTTGCCGCCGTTGATGGCGTCATGGAGCGGGGTGATGCCACTGCAGCCGTCCCCGCCTCGGTCGTCGATGTCGGCGCCGTGGTCCAGCAGCGCTTCCACCACGGCCAGGTGGCCAAAGTTGCAGGCCTCGTGCAGCGGGATCCACCCGCAGTAGTCGCGAGGGTTGACCGGGTGACCCTGAGGGTAAGAAAATTTAAAAAATTATTCACCCTTCTTCAGCTCAGGTGCAGTTATTTTCTTTGGGCCAAAAAAAAGTCTCCGGTTTCTGGTCAGCACGCACATCGCCGTAGACCTGCGCATCAGCAAAATAAAAAACTTTCTTATTTCTTATTAAATGATGTCCAAAAGCTGCCAAACTTGCTTAATTGACTGGAATCCTGCGACTGCGTAATTTTAACCTGTTTCTGATGGGGTACAGTTGAGTAATATGTACAGTGAAGGAGTCCCTGTAGTCCCCCATACATTTAGTCGGGCACTCTTTTTCAGATGATGTTATTTCTGTATTATAGATTTACATCTGGGAACCAGACAAATGAGGTGGTGTTATGTCCTGTGTACATGTACATGCTTTTTAACAGTAAAAATGCGGGGCCAGTCTATTTTAGTGTTGGCAGCAGCCGGAGTTACGTGCACACGCAGTCACGATGGACATTATTGTACATTATTTCCAGAAAATAAAAGTGAGGGTAAAAAAAAAAGCTGCGTCGCCGCACCACTTTTGGAATCAGCTCATGACCAGAAACTGGAGACTTATTTTGACCTTATGGAGGCTGTAGAACATGAAACTTTTGTGCTCCTTTTGCAATGCACCTGCTAAGGACACTGCTATTCCGGACAGAAAGGAGCAGAGCTGCTGGCATGCTCCATTTTGAAACTCACAAAAACACATTGTACTGGATGCAACAATTGACATTCTGACCAACTTTTTGACCCATAGAAAAGTTGCTTTAACAAAAACAAATAGCATAACCTTATGTCTTCGTGTCAGAAGTCATGCCTTTAGCTGTGATATACTGATAAGTTAATGTTATCTAAAGGGATACAGTTGGATTTATATCTATCAGAAGTTAACCTGATAATTCAACATTCTATGCAAGGAGTCACCTGCTGTAATAACTTCCTGACTTGTCTGATGTTTCCGTCGATGCAAGCTCTGTGAAGCAGTGTCTCTCCTTTCTCATTCCTCTTGGCAAACTGGCAAAATGAATTGGCACGAGCAAAGAACAATTCAGTGGCAATGAACGAATCAGTCCCCCTAGGCATCATTCCTGCATCTCGTCACAAATTCAGCGATTCTCCGGACCTTTCAACCTGAAGAGACAACCTGTTTAGTTATTATACCTTTGTTTTCCTTGCTCTCTTGGTAGCCAAAGATCGGTCGTATTCCTCCTCAACCTCAGACTCTTCTGCAGACACATAGAAAAGTTGATAAAAATGGACAAATTAAAAAGTTAAAATGCAAAATATCTGCTTGTGAAGTAAATTCAATGAATCTTTATACTTTGCTGCTTGTACTGTTTGATTTATTTTGTTTTAGCAATTGTGACTGTTCGCCCATTTGTGTTTTTCAAATTGTCTGTCTGTCGGTTTGTTGGGCTGTTTTTCTATCTAGGCTATACTGTATGTACTTGTTCACCACTGTGAGAGCTAAAAACCAAAAATAAATTGCAGCTCTGCAACATCTGCAGAAAATTCATCAGTGAGGGGTTGAGACTCAAACTGAAAAATTGTTATCAGTGTGCTTGAAAAGAGTGAATTGGCAAAAGATTCCGAGTACCTGATTCGGAGAGTTCCAGCTCATCCACCTCCCAGGATTCGCTTTGCTCCTCCCCTTCCTCCTCTCTGCCCCCATCTCCTTCCCCCTCGCTGATCTCATCCTCATCGTCCGACGCAATGTCGTGCTGCTCCTTGAGATGGTGGATCTTCTCCATCGTGCTGCCGTACAACAGCTCCTGCTTGTGCTTCTGTTGGAGGAGAGCCATGGACTTCAGAGCCAGCAGCTGAAGATCGGAAGAAATGTTTCGTATTTTTTTTTATAACTGCAAGTCTTGAGAGGTCAGGATTAATGCAGCTCCACTGGTCGCCGAAGGAAAACTTGACAGTGTTTGATAAGCTCAACCTGGCGTCACATTTTGATGGACTTTTGTTTCCTTTGTTGTTCTAGGATTATCTTCAAACGGCAATCTGTCCTCGCTCGGAAGAGGATACGCAACCGCTCCAGAGTTCACTGGTTGTCATTCTGTCTGCCCTATAATTTGACTGGACAACTTGACAAGTTGGTGAGAAGCCGGCTATCCCACGTCAGCAAGGCAAAGATATAATATTCTAAGTGCAAATCTTGGATAGACTGGGCAGAGATGGGCAGAATTTGTTGGCCTGGATGAAACCAGGGTAAGGTCGGGGAGGGAGTGGGGTAAGAGTGGGGTGGAGGAGCCTGGGGTGGGAATGAAGTAAAGGGCCGTTACCTGGAGCTTGGGATGTTGGGACTTTTTAGCAAGCTCCGCGGCTGTCTTGTAGGACTGATTGATGGTCTCGAATGCCAGCCAGGATCTCTCTTGAGCATCGGCAATGTTCAGCCACGTCCTTGCCTCCTACAAGGATGAGACCGGTAACACAGCCTCTCAGTAATGTCCAACAAAACATCCATGAATATGGTGGCCTACAGATCATTTATGTAGATGGCTGTACATTGAAGCACATTGTGCATATTATTTCATGAAGTGGTTAAATGAGGCCTATTGCCCATGACATCCTATACCCCCAGAGACATCCTTCTATTTCAGTTTCCGTTTATTAGCAAACGATCACATTACCATGTTTAATGTTCACACTCCACAGGAAATTTCATTAGATTCTTCCTCAGACTTCAAAATCTTCCACAGTGTTAGAAAACAATAGTTTCATCGTCATAACAGCTTTCTGTAGGACATCCTCATGAATGTTGACGGATTGTTACAGGTTATGAGAATGCAACATGGACGTTGGAATCACCCAACTTTCATCTTGGAAAGCACCGTCCCCATAGTCTCCTTCATTGGTCCGAACTGCCAAGGTAATTCAAGTTACTGAGGGTTCTTTTTATCCAGAGTCGTGCATACCTCTTTCGGGTGACCTTTTCTCAGCTCCAACTCCTTATGATACATCTCGATGGCCTTGCCATGCTGGCCGTCATCTGCGTAGGTGGTCGCCAGTGAAATAAAGATGGGCACCAGCTCTTTTGGGTCACACTTCAGGGCCATGGCACAAGACAGCTACAGAGAATGAATTCACACACAAAAAAAACAAAGCTCATCAAAATTTCTTCAGGGTAAAACAGTTTGTTGTTGACCACTGGTCAGTATTCCGTGGTAACCACATGCACAAACTTATCCAGGATACCAGGCAAAACTGACAAGCGGTTTACCAACTGTAGCTTAACATATGTGCATATTGCACACTACCAGCGCGATATTTGATAGGTTTAAAGAGCACCTCTAAGGAAAATAAACGTGGAAGTATCAAAATTGAACGCAGTGTCATTTGTCTTCACAGAGCTCAACATACACAAGGGTTTATCCACTATGAACACAGGGAGAGGGTTCCCCTCATTCTCTCTGTTTTCTCCAAATGATGCAATCTACATTCAGCATTCGCATCTTGGCATGAACCCAAAAAAAGCCCTTTTTAGCTTGTTATTAGTTGAGATCGGAAGACAAATGACACTGTGTACGATTTGGATGCTTCCACATTTACTTGAACAGATAAAATCAGAGAAAATATGTTTTCCTTAGAGGTGCTCTTTAACCTATGGAAGAACGTTAATCTGCATTTTGAAGAACCAGTCAAAACCATGCGGTGGCTTAGATCAACCTGACAAAAGGTACCACTAGTATATTAAAGCTATAAATTTACTACACAAACTCGCTGGTGAGCCTACCTGTTTCTGGTAGTAAACAGCAGCCCTGGCAAAGGCATTGACCTTTGAGCAAAGGTCACCGAGCGACTCGTACAACGGAAGTCTCTCTCGGTAGGCAGCATCTCCCGCCTCCTCAAGCTCCTCTTGAAGACGACAACCGTGGATTGCTGTGAACAAGAGCACAATCAACTTCAAGTTTAAAGACTGTAATTTGCTTTTTCTGAAAAGTAACGGGTGGACCTCATAAAACACACAGAGAATATACAGGTGTAGAAAAGAACAGCAGTACGACCAAATTTAACTCTGAATCACAAAGAATATTCACTACGAGCCTTCCTGATTCCTCCAAAATATATCACAGGAACGCAAGGGAACATACTGTGTAAGTTTCAAATGAGTCAACCCCATGTCAAAAATGCGTGACTGTCTTTTCCCAAATCCTGGAAATTATCCCAAACCTTCTGGTAGGAGGATCTGTAAAAATCTGAATCCGAAAACATTTGAAGGGTTTGAAAAGATTAGGGTTCCATATTTATCGTGTACTGTTTTGCGATAATGATGTGTGGCAAAATTGACCTGCTTTGAGAGTCCGGATGACCAGCTCTCTGTCCTCTGGTTTCTGGGAGCCCAGTTTGTAAGCTTTCTTGAGGCCTCGCTTGGCAGCGTGGAAGTCTCCAAGCAGGATGAACACCTGATTCAGCAGAGAAACAGTCTACAATTGTGTAACACTCCTTGGCATTTCATAAAGCCTTGGGGACACCATGTCACAGTACCCTCTGTTTAGCCTCGGATGCCCTGGGTCTACATCTCCCCTTGGGGGTACTTAACCCACTGACCACATGATAACAGACTCAACAGGACCCATGAAGGGTTAGTTAGGGTTAGCTTCTAACAGAAGGCTTCCGAAAGGGCAACACATACCCTGCTGACTCATTCTTTCTCTGGAACTGCCATGTTGGAACAAAAGCGAGGCTGCACTTGCAAAACAAAGACTAAGGCTGAGTCTAAATTTCTCGGCTATGACTTACAAAGACACAAATATCTATGGGAAATGGCTACAGCCACTAGCCACTGGCTGCCATAGCACAAGTGTAATTATCAGCTGTAGCCATGCAATTCATACTTGGCCATAAGGCCAGCTGAGCTCCTACACATTACAAACCACTGAAGCATAAAATTGATGCTTGTCGGTGCAATAAAGCTTGCTACAGTCATACATTACTGAAAGGCAAAATCCTTATTACTGGACCGGGACTATTTCACCATGACACAAGGAATATGTAAGGCTCTACTTACATTAGCTGAGGATGACAAGGCTTCACTCTCCAAGTTCTTATCCTTGAGTCGCCTGGCAACCTTCATGGCATTCTCAAAGGATCGCATCGCTTTGGTGCTCTCCCCGGTCCTCTGGTAGATGTCGCCCTGGGAGCAATGACTCCTGTACAAGTCCTCCAAAAGCTGGTGCTTCCTATAAGAACATAAGGAGATGATAAAAAAAACTTACAACCTGACATCCCCAATCTTTGTTCCAAGGTTTGGTTACTTGTGAATATTTACCCAAACTAATTCTAATCCACAATGAATGACCACTTGGGGACCATTCAGACGAGTTCAGTAATTATTGTAGATATTCCTGTAACATGATAATCAGGCAGAGGTCCAGTTGCAAAGGAAAAAGTTATAACTGACTGGAAAATCATACTGGTGAGACATTTCTCTCTTACTGATATTAGATGTCGGTAATGGTTAAGATAAATTATCATGCACTTGTTCATACCCGCCCAACTTCTTTCTGGACATCTGCTCAATGTCTATAATTTGATCACGCTAATCCTTCTAGATCCTGACAATTTTGAAGGTATTAAGAAGGGGCTCTGAGGATTCAGAAAGGTACAGCCCAACCACTTTTTTTGGGGGGGGGGCTGACTGTTCCTAGAAAGTTCAAGGATATAACACAGCGCTTCTGCCCAGGACAGGATTTTAAAGGTTTGGGAAGGTCCCTTGAAAATGGCCAAAGAACATGGGATTAAACAGTGTTCCTAATATTAAGGCCAATAGTTCTTTCATTCCACTACTTACTCAGCAATGAAGATGGCCTGCTTGATGAACTTGGCCGAGTTACCATTGTCTCCTTGATAGTCGTATACCAGACCAATGTTCAGGTACAGTCGGGCTTTCATTTCCATCAGCTCCTTGTCTGAGACTACGCCCTTCAGGAGACCACACACTTCCAGGCTCCTTCAAGAAAACAGGCATCCATTTTTTTTTTGCCTTTTCTTGATAATAAAATGACGCATATTAAAGCAGGCCTTGGCTCATTCTTTCAAGCAAATCATTCCAGAAAAAGATGATGCGTCAGTAAGACCACAGGTTTTCCCCATGGCTATTTCTATCGATTTCTTCGATTAAATCGAACTATTTCTCAGATGTAGGATTCAATTTAATGGCATGGCCTGGCAGATGTGTTAAAAGAAATCTACATTCGAGGCACACAGAATCGATATCTCTGTTCATTCACTGAAGGAGTGGAATCACGATTCTGATTCCAAGTTGGGAATCCATTTCTATTCTTGCACAGACTTGAAGAGCACAACTAATCAATCATCTTTGGCTGTAATGAAATTTGGTTCAGTATTCCATGTTGGTTTTCATTGTAAAATTTCCCGATAACATCTCTCTTTTGCTTTGTCTTTGAAGGTACTAGGTAATCTGTAAAGCTGTTTTTTAGACACAAAAGCTTGATCTGTCCACTGGGTAAATCCAATTGGGTGCTCAGGCTTCAAAAACATTCCAATAGTGTAAAGTCACCATAAACGATCTCTTGTAATATATGACGTGGGAAGAACTCTTTACTGAATCATCACAATATTTGAGTATCCTAAACGCGAAGTTAAAAAGGAACGAGCCTTAAAGAGGTGTTTAGAAAGTAAAATGGTTCACTTCTTTATGGAAACAAGTCTGGTGAATTTGTTTGTGTTCATGGCACTTTTAAACAGTGATGGTTTGATATGGAATTCTTTCTTCTGCACCTTCCTCTGCAGTCCTTACTTGAGGAATGACTCTCGTGCTTTCTGCAGCACATGGATCGCCTCATTGGGATGATCCTGTCGCATGCTCTCCCCCTGGATTAAGAATGTCCGGCCGATGGTCGCCTGCGCCCGCTGCTCCTCGACGTGGTTCTTCACTGAGCGCGCCAACTCTAGGTGGCGCCCTTGATAGAGGAGGGCCTTCTTATAGTGGCCCAACTGACTGTAGCATTCGCCAATTTTTCGGCTGGCGACGGCAGCGCCGATGACATCCTGCAAGGACTCAGACAGCCGTAATTCCTGCTGGTGTTCCTTTATGGCTTCCTCGTACTCTCCTGATAACATGAATGTATTTATTTACTCATGGTTTGAAACTTCCATTTGTCTTATTTGTCAAGATAAATTAGAAAAGTTTACAAACATGACTTTTGATTGGTTGAAACCTAATAGTTGGAAAAGTTAAAGCTGAAAAGAGCCAGTCAAAGTTTGTTTTGCTAAACAATGTCTGGTGGGCTAGTGAAAAGAAAGAAGTCAACTTGCCTGGTGGGCTAGTTACGAAAAGCTTAAGGCCTGATAGTGGTAACTAAAGTTGAGAGTACCGCTGGGCGAGTATATCGATTAATCGACTATATCGGAAATAGTTTCTTCTACTCATTGCACTACTTGTGGATCTGAAACTGTTCGATTAATCGTGCCCACTTGATTAGTATCTGCAAAGGCCAATAGTAGTAGGACCTACCATGTCGGGACAGTAGTTCTCCCAGGACATTGCAGAGCTCAGCTTCGTCCTTTAGTTTGCCACTCGCTTGTGCCTTAAGTTTGGCTTTTTGGAGTCCTGTTGAGGGTTTTGAGTTGTATATTTAAAATGGTAAGCATGATGATTTGTAAGAAGTAAAAAACCAATCAATAAGTGTCATATGTGCAAAACCACTGAAAACTGTGGTTGATTTCAACATAGGGGAGTCAGGTTAACAAGGTAGTACTTTCCTCACCTTCCATCTCTGTGGTCTCGGGTTCGATTCCCGGCCCGGTCCACATGTGGATTGGGTTTTCAGTCCCTACCTGATTCCGTGGGTTTTACCCAGAACATTCCTCTAGGGTTTTCCTCTCACCTCTAAAACTGTAACTGCTTTTTACTGTTTCCCTTTACTGATGTTGGTGAATGTGGGTCGTTTGGCGGCTGCCCGAGGCGCCCTTGTGTGCCATCGGCTCCACCATGTTTAAATGTATTCACAATTCCACGCTTAATGTCTTCATTGTACAGCGCATTTGAACATATCTATATGAAATTTTCGCTTTATAAATGAATAAATTATTATCATTATTACATAACCAAGATTACTGCCAGTCCAAAGTCAGTGAACTGATACAATATAATTACTAAATTCACCTTCTGTGACTGAGTGAGTACATGGCCAAGCCATTACAATACACGGCTGAAGGTCAGGTGACCAAGATTCAAGAGCCACCACACCCATCGCATTCATTTTTGAGTTTTACCTCAAAAAGTAGAATATTATCCATTTATAATTTTAAAATGATCCCTACAATACATTTTAGAATTTGTCATTTCCTTTTTTTGATTTGTGGCTCTAACGTCCATGACTGTACAGTCTCCAGTTCCCTAATTTCACCACCTGTTGTAAAGTCTAATTGGTTTCACAGTAAGTGGGAAATGAGGGACGTGACGGCTATACAATCGCGGATGTTTGAGGAATTTTTTAAGGGTAAAAAAGTCTGAAATTGCCCTAGCTCTGAATCCCACATCATGCAATATGTGTACAAATTCACTGTGTCAATGTATGGATCCTGATGAAGATTTGCCACACTAATATTTTAAGGTCTATCCACAAACATTCACCTCTGCATGGTCAGTTGCCATGCCAGTATACCAAAACATATCAGGACTGTTAACCTATCACATATCCATTGCCATTTTTTTTTCAATAAAAAGAATATCATGTTTCACACTAAAAGTACATTAGGCCTACCTTTGTCCAGCACAATCATTGAAAGTACGCAACTTGCACAATATTTCTTGCGCACTTTTTATCAGGTTGGCATAGTTTAAATCTGCGCAGGTAACACTGAGTGCAATCTTTGAACATGTGCAATTTTAGTGCCTCAATCTGTGCAATTTTAAAGGGGTTATGATGGTTAGCATTCAACTGGGCGGGAGATTCCTATTTCCTTAGAAGCAATGATCTCGTGGGAGTGCAGCGGCCATCGAACCCCATAGTTCTGGGGGTAGCCTACAAAATGTACACGGGGTCCGGGGATGAACAGCGAGACAACATCATTTTCGGTGATTAATGAGTCTTTTATTGCTGGAAAAGCTGTTGCTCAAAATGACAAATGAAAGTCCGCAAACAGCGTGCATGGTAGGCCCCATGATGATGATAAATTAAAACTAATGTTGGACATCTCGTACCCGGGACAATTCATACCCAGGACAACTCATACCCAGAACAAGTCATGCCGGGACATGTCCTACCCAGGACAATTTGTACCCTCCCCCCCAAAACGGTGGGGTCCGACATACGCTCCGCTCCCATGGCTGAGCAGACATCAGACCCCACAGTTCTGGGGGTATTCATACCCGGGACAACTCATAACCCAAGAGAAATTACATTTTATCATACAGGGGTAGGTTGAAGAGACATCACATCAGAATTATGGTATAGCATATTGAAAAACCGTAAATCAGTTGAAGGGGAAGTAACATGCATTTTATTACCGGGTATGAATTGTTCCGGGTATCAAGTGTGCCGGGTACGAGATGTCTCGAGTATAAGTTGACTCGGGTACGAGTTGTACCGGGTACGATGTCCCGATTCTCGCAGTCGGCATGACGTCACTGTGGACTTTTAACACAGAAAAGGAGCAAAGTTACCCTTCGTGCTATTCAATAATGCACAAAAGTTCCTGGATGTCTGATCACGAGATTTCTCACGGTTGGGATGATGTCACTGATTCTTGATTCTTCCCTCTGATTAGTCAATTGGTGGCTATTCCATATTTCACACTCAAAACTCAAACTCAAAGGGGCTAAAATAGTGTTGGCGTCTATGGGGAAAATCTAAATTATTGACTGGACTCTTAACCTTTACATCAAATGTGCCTGAAATTTCACTATTTATGCGCTATGAATATCACCAACACTGTACTGAAAGGGTTTCAGTTATATTTAGGCCTATCATGTTGCAGCAAAAAAGGAGGAAAACATCAGAATATGCATATCCGGTATATCCCTGTACAAAGTGAATGAAGAGGAGAGGCTCTCTTTTACAATCTGTCTCTTTTCTGTGGTGGCGACAGAAAACAGACAAATTGTAAAAGACAGCCACTACAGCCCTACGCGTGGGGCTACCCCTACGCCCAGACGTGAGTGCAAGCCAATAGTCCTAAATCATTAAACATGTTAAAAAATGGAGCAACCTCAGACCGCCAGCATGGCCAGTGACCGCGAGAAAAGGCCTAGGCCTACCATCAAAACATTCTTAACTTACGTCTAAACTCCTTTTTGTCATTAGAATTCATGTCCTATTAATGCAAGGGCTCACAACGTGGATGAGAAGTCCATTAATTAATCTTGTTTCGAACGCTGCCTCGGTTTTTTCACTCAACATTTGGTCGACCTGTGGAACTTGACAACAGAGGGAGTCGCCATCTTGAAATTCCCGCGATTGGGAATGCCCTTTTTTTTCCNAGAGGGAAATTAATTAATGGTTAAATAAATTTAAAGCTTCTAAAATCTTGTACGACTTATCACCAATTTATGAAAGCCCTTGTTGATGGGAAAAAACAAGCAAATAATAGTAGGTTTGCCAATGCCATGAAATAATTTGTCATTTCAAAATAAATTTTGGACCCAACATGAACAATAATAAAACTTCTGGCAAAAAAATATCCAAATTTTCAGGGATCCTCTTCAATTCCTTTAACAGTTACTACTACTTCTACTAGTTCTTATTGTGTCATTTTGTCCGTCACACAAGCCACTTTAGTTTGATTCTCTAAAGAACAAATGTCAGGCGATATCAGACGGTTTGGCCTGTGGAAATAGCAATGGTAGATTTCTGAGTCGTAGGGCAAGTACTGTACTATTTTAAGTGAATTCATACCCTATTGTACAACGTACTACGCGCAATGTGACCGCGTATCAAGGTTTCACGTGACATAACATGACGGGCAGAGGTGTCCGTGCACTGCGTAAATTGAATACTGACCGTCAAAAATCACGTGACTGAAAAGCCTCCATTTCCCGCTGCGTTCATACGCCTGGCAATTGGATGCGAGACAGTGTCATCCATTCGTATTGGTCAAAAGCTGGTCTGTGTGCGCCGCGGCACGCAGAACTCGCCATGAGCGCCCCACTGTCCATAATTGTGAGGAGATTCTTTTGGATTACTTGCACGAGAGATATACCATAAAATGGACGGGGAATTCAGGGAAAAGATAGTAAACCTGTTTAACAAAGCCCTTGGAAATTTATCGTGTGTTGACTTCCTTTAACTCGCTAACCCAAACAGTATGTGCTTGGTACGGTGATTCGGTCTTAAACGTACGTTTCAGACTGGCCAAGCAAGTTCCAGCCCTTACTAGTGACAAGTTTAACACTGTCTTAGTGGTCTAAGAGAACCATTTAGGTGGCTATTGAATTTGGACAGAGGTAGTTTGTTAAAGCATGATAATGCATGCACACGGTATCAAAGCAAAGTTACGTTACCTATTTGCACTTTGGCCACAATACAGTTGGACATGAAACTGAATTAAGTTAGGCCCAATACGGCGCGGATGTACACAAAAAAAACCTGGACTTGCAACGCCTTTGTGTGAAGAAGAAGCAAACCAGCGGCCATTTTACCGAACCAAATATAAACGTGGGTTGGGTCCCTTCTACTGACGTCAGGAAGAACAAAGGCGGGCATTGCCAGGAAAGTTTTGTATTCGAATCGGTAAATTGTGGATTGTGTGCGAGTGGATTCAATGACTCTATAAGCTGATAAGGGCATTGCGAGTCCAGATTTTATTATACACGTCCGTGCAAGCGCCTTTCCACATGCGCGTCAACCATGCGCCAATGAAGCGTCGCGTATCCATCAAAATCGCTCCCCGGGCGATTTTGACTGCTGAATGCAACGCACACGTGTGTAAGTTATGTTGAATGTGTCTGTTCCATGAAAGTGAAACGCATAAATGTGTCGTATACGCAACGCACCCCAAAAACTATGCATAGAAAGGCGCCTTTATGCATTTTTTCCACGCTGTATACGGTAATGATTTATAGGAAAATAAAATGAAAGTTTATAGGCATTATCCTGCGTTCTTTTTATGCTTCAGGGCTACTGGCGCTCTTTGAACTGGATACGCTCAGCATTATTGAGAGTTAAAAATAAAAACTACTATTTATAGTTTGCACTTTACCCTTTCTACGTGCTTCTATTAGTGACCCGTCTCTCTGGTCTTGGGAAGCAACAAAGCTGGGCATCTGAATTAACGCCAAGTGAGCATTAGTGATCGTTTCACAATGTGCCTGTATTTTGCATATGCCAGTAACATGCTGAGAGAGCGGTTACTATTAAATAATATGCCATTGGCTCTTGTCACCATTGGAAAACTAAGAGTAAGTTAAACGTTTACCTATCTGGGTCTAAATCACTCCAGCTAGATCGAGACGCAACTACAGTAGTAACCCTCCACATGTACATGTAAATGTACAGTACATGTACGTGTATGGAGCGTCAAAAATGGACAACCCCATTTTCTCATTTTCTGCTAGTAGATTTTCGGGATTTTGGACTTTGCGTATAGCATTTTCAAAGACGCAATTTTCCGCCAGCAGAAATTTGGATTTTACTTTAACAACTCTCGTGGCGTGTCAAAAGTGGACAACTAAAACTTCAAATTCCCACCGGCAAAATCACTGTCATGCTCCCAAAGTGGACAACCCCATTTTCTCATTTTCTGCTGGTAGATTTTCGGGTTTTGGGAATTTGCGTAAAGCAATTTCAAAAACTCACTTTTCTGCTAGCAAAAATTGGTAATTTACTTGAAGGAGTCTTCGTAGCACGTCAAAAGTGGACAAGTAAAAACTTCAAATTTCCACCAGCAAATTTTATTTGACGCTCCCAAAGAGGACAACCCCATTTTCTCATTTTCTGCAAGTAGATGTTGGGTTTTTTGAAGATGCACCACCCCTTTTCATAAAACCCAATTTTCTGCTGGCAGAAATTTGGATTTTACTTTGCCGACTGTGGGGTGGTCCAAAAGGTCCAGTTGAAAACTGAAATGACCTCTGTGCTCCCTACGCTCAAAATGGAACGGTCTTGGGAAGATGGCAGCCAACATACACCTGACGGATGGCGTCGCAGCTCGGCAAAAATGTGGGTGATTCCTATTAAGAAACATGCAAATAGGAAAGGGGCTGCCCAAAGCCTGACAGTCCTGTATGGTACCACAAACTTCCGACTTCCCAGCACACAGTGCAATTCGAGTGACGGTGGTGGCTTGCCGTCGGGAATTTCCATTTTAAATAAATGAGCGCATGGTGATGCGTCCCCTAAACGATGCTAGCAGTAATAAACCATTGTACCCATGGCCAGTAGAATAATTGAATTTATTGTGGAACGAAAAAAGGTTGTAATTGAAAAAGTCACGTCAAGAGAAGAAACCAAGTGCTTTTCAATCAAGTCAACCAAGAGTTTCAAAAACTTGAACTTGCTGAAATAATTTTGACATCCAACAAAAAAATTCCCAAACACGTATTCAGCCAATAATTCTGTAATGAACTGGGCAAAACATACACGCAATATTTGAGTGGGAGGAACACCGATATTTAATTCTCTTCGTGTGAAGCTCTGGAAAACAATTACAAGACAAACAGAAAATGCTCATGTAGCATTTGTGATACACCGAAAGAAAGTAATACAATATATCTACAACTATAGTGTCCACAGTCCCAGAAGTAGCCGGGTGAAGTTCAAGAGAAATAGAGAACAAGTTACTTCCCTTAACTTGGCATTAGGCCCTTCGGTAGTCGGAATATTACAAATTCCAATAAAAAAAAGGATAGCCACGAAGAAAATGAATCTTTCAGCCAGTACACCAGTCGGTCACTGATATGACATCAAAGATTTAATTCAATATTTATCATTCAAATCTTTGTTCAAGTCATCAATAGACGTGGGCAGTTATAGTGGAGGCCTTGGTCATTAATATGAAGACAAATGATTCAAAATGACAACGTGAAGAGATATTAACGCAATGAAAACACAAACTTGCAAGTGACGGCCCAGAGCACTGAGTCGTCAAATACATGTACTGTGAAATGCATGAACGGTGGATTGTATAACAAATCTTAGGATATCTGAATATAAAAAACTGGTTGTTAACTCTTGCCACTCCGAGTAACTTCTACCATAATCAGTTCATAATTTTTGTCAATCTTGGACATATTATTTTCAATAATTTCCTTTAGAATAATACTCCCCTCCGATAAATCCCATAAAATCAACATCCTTGACGTGAAATACAAGTTACATGAAACAAGCCAATCACGCCAAGGGACTCTGACGCCCCATGCCCGTCCACAGACGGCTCCGCACGTTTGCAGTACTACTACGACGGACCGTCACTCTGGCTCTGGCAGCCACTTCGCAACTTTCGTCTACCTTGTTTTTTTCAGGGTGCAGACCACTAATTCAAGTGAGAATTTCTGGCCAGCTCATTAGCGTTAAAAGTGCCCCCACAGTATCTTTTGGAAAAGGAGATTGTTTAGCCCCCAAAATGATGAGATTGTATAAATTGTTGCCAGGATCAACTCCCTGGGTCTTTGAGCTTTCAAATTAGAGCAGAAGGGCTAAAAACTACGGTTGAAAAATGGTCTTAAGTGCCCTAGAAA